GTTCGTTTTTTATTAGGTCTGACCTATTCACAACGTTAAGCTTTTGTGCATTGATGAATAGCACCACCATTCGGTTCACAGATGTTATATTTTTCCGTAAAATATTCATCTAATTATCTTATAAACGATTGACAACTATGAGCAATCTTTTCAGCCTTCTGTGGTTCCATTAACTTTTAATAACCTAATTTTGTTATCTTTCTTTCCAGCCAATATCTGCATGATAAGTTAATAACAGTATGTGTTTTTCTCTTTATTTTGTAATTTCTAGATTATGAAGTAGAAAGTAGCTCTTATTCTTAAGGGGCAGGTCATACAAAATGTTAATGAAACAAGTTTTGTCGCTTTTCAATACATAACAACTTTGCGCTTAAGTTGTTATCAAAGAGGTGGACGTCAATAAGTCGTTTGAAATAGTAATAAGCTAATCTGGAGTTAATTAGGTATTTTTCAGTGAACTCAAATGACGGATATAATATTTAGATCTGACAACAGATGGACTAAGATATAATGGAATAAAAGGGCGATGTCAATCTAGATCACATTTATTTTATATTTCATTATGGATGTCGTCTGGCTTGACATGTGTGAGTTCTCAGTACAATATTTATACACCCTATATTATTTGATGTGAACTATATTTAGTGAGTTTGTGCAAACAATTTATATTTTTTTTTCCCATGTTTGCTATTATTATGTTCAAAAATTGGCATACAAATAAGTAGGTTCTGGTTTGATGGCGACAATGTTGACGACTTATTTTGAGTATGTGTTTTTGAACAGTCAATACATCCTCATTTGAACCAATCTTCTGTGTTTGTAATCGGCCTCGTGGGGATTACAATGGTTCCTGGTTTCTAACCAGTAAGACGGCGGACACAACAGAGCTGACAAGAAAATAATAAATAAATAAATAAGATTGTTAAGAAAATCACAACTTCTATCACTTAATTATTAGTTTAATAGCGTTATGCACACCTCTTTTATTAAGTTACTAATCGAATAGTGGTTGTTTATCAAACAAGTTAGAATTTTCTGAATTATTAGGGGTAATGTTTGTTATAAACCGGAATCATTGGAGGGTTAACTGAAAAACAGATAGTGATGACTCGATTTGTGATTCTAAATCAAGATTATTCAGCATTACCTTATAAAGGTAACATAAGTGATCGCACACAGAACCTTCATATCTCACTGTTAAGATGATACCATTGAGATATTGAATCGTAATTTAATGGTCTGAAGCTTAAACTTTACTTCATTTGGGATTTAACAGGATCATCGTCCAATTTCATCGATAGTTCATCACCGAACAAATGATTTTTTCATTTCTATGAGAAGCCCCAAACTTAAATGAAATAACTTTTTAATAATTTCATATTTTCAGTGGTTCAACTAATGATGGACATTAGAATGTTTGATGTCATAACGGGATTATTTCTCGTATTACCATTCTAACAGACGTATTAATGGCCTTGTACTTTATTCCTAATTATTGCTACGATATGTCTGAAATATTGTTCATCTGTGACAGTCGTTAAGTTTTATGTTACTGATCACTCCCAAAAAGTTATAATCTAAATATATTCGTTCATTGATCACTACTCTTAGTGTTACTTTACAAAATCAAAGTAATGAAAGGTTGTGAGCTGACAGATATTCTGTTGTATAATATTCTTATTACCACCAAAGCTGGTTTTAACAAAGAACATAATAATCCACTAAATTGATTGAAAAACATCAGGCAATAGTGAAAATTGTTAGGTATATCATATTTTTATTATATGATATAATGATTTATTCCACAAATCATTTTATTCTTTTGAAAGAACTAGTCAGTATTTATCGTATATGTGCTCGATCGAGCCAGAATTAATCAACGATATATTATCCATTAATAAAACATAATTAAAGAATAACAGATCTGAATATTTGAATTTACGAAAAGCATAATTATTTATTTCTAAGAATATATATTTGTCAACTAAGTAAAGTGAAGTGAAGATTTACTGAAAAATGTTAAATCAAATTAGGAGAAACTAATCACGTCAAAGAAATATATGATTGCCGATGAAAATTGGCAAGTACAAAACCTCATTGTAAAGCTACGTATAATATTACTTTTAAACATGCAACACAAACAATTATAACATTAAATGAACAGTTAATTTAACAGTAAACTGTATACAGATGTCAAGTAAGATGCATTGTATAATGAAAATATTTATTAATTAGGCAATACATAAAAACAATAAATCCAGTTCCATGTGGATAATGTTAGGTAGATCAGTATACTTAATAAATCTATCAAGGATGTCAAATAGTAATGATCATATCTTTTTATACTACTGGTCAGTGAAAAATCAGTATCATATTGTGACGCCAAATTTTCATGATAATCCGTAGGAGGATAGTAAATTAGTTGTTGTCGATAATGACGACGACAATTATTACGATCACAAAGCTTACAGAAGACTGATTTTTTAATCGAAGACTCTTCACAAAGCTTAATGTTTTGTTTTTTTGTTGAGTATTCCTTTTTAAAAGGTCTCACGAAGCATACTAGACGACTGTTCCATTGAGCAAAATGATTATTCACAACAGCGACGATAGTCGCCAAACCCATGAAACCTAACTGATTCAATATATAAATTCCTGAGTTTATTACACGATGAGAAAAGAAAAAGAAAAAAATTAGTGAACTTTTGAATAAAAGTGATGTCATTGTTCAGGAACCATGAAAGATGTCCAGTCATCCAATATGATTGTCAAATAATTTTTATACCAAACCCAATTAAAGGTAATAATGTTGTTATAATGTGAGAATCCTTAGTGATCCCCTCCCGGGAATCCACACAAGATGTGATGTATATGAAAAATATAAAGTTTAATTGGCAAACAAAATTTTTAACAAGTTACAAGTTAGAAAAGTTTAGTTGTGATTGTTCAGGCTCCTGGATTACCTCGTACGGTGAAACCAGCAGGGGAATCCTGACTATGGGATAAAGAGCCTCTAACAAAATTTAGCCTTGTTTTAATTCTGATGGATATATGGGTATTTAGTAGATTTCCTTTTCTGTTGGTTAAATGAATGGTTCAAATTTCAGTACATTTTGCAAATCTCATTTAAAATTATTGTCTAATTAATTAAAAGACAACTTTTCTTCGTATATTGTGTTAGTGATGAACAGATTGGATTCCTGATAGATTTCTTTTAGAGTTATCAGATGATTAAGGATTTTATTCAAGTAAAATTGCTGATTTTGAAAAACATATACATATACTAACAGGTAACTAACCTCATGAATAATTCCCGAGGTTCTCATGGGAGCTCCGGACTGATGAACTTTAACCTTATCCGGAGTGTAACTGGTATAACCAATGTCAATGGATGACAGCTGTGAAGCACCATAAACTCGTAGAAGTTGGAAATGTGTAACGGCGAATTCGAATACAGGGATTCGAAGATAACGTGCTCGCCGAGAAATCTGAAGCTCTCAGTTCAATATCTGACAGGGTCTTGGCTGAACACTTAGAGTCACATTCTTCCCACATTTGAATATAAATTGTTCTCATATATGATGTTAATGTGATTTTAAGACAGAATTGGAGTGCTCAACTGGATAATAACTAACATTCTCCCATTTGCAACCAATTCCAGGATTATTTTTTGAACCTCGAGTTAATCGGGGTATTTAACTTAATCTGTTTCAAAATTACCTTCTATCAGTTTTTTAACCGGAATACATACTTGGATTTAGTATGATATTAGAGTAGCCTGAAATCAAGCCTAGATTTCTTATCATTAGAAAGGTATTCAATAATCCAGCATTAACTGAATGGATTTGATGATTTTGTAATCTCTACCATTTATCAAATATAAATTGTCTAACAAAAATTAAATTCAATCACATTTTTTGATGAATTTTCAAGAACAGTTAAAACCGTATTTCACAAACTCACTTTATTTAGGTGCGTTTGGTTGTATTGCCAATAAGTCTTAGTTAAGTGGCAGAGGAAAATAATACTAAATTTCGTAATCTCTTGTTGATTAGCTAATTTCAAGTAACTTTTGAGGAGCAATCATAATTAAATATTCTATTCACTGTCGATCGGCGTGCCTTGTGTGGATTATGTACAAATGGTTTATCAGTGCTTTTAGAGATAACTGGTTTAAGATCGAAAAGTTGGAAACAATACTGTATTCCTTTCCGTGTTAATAATTGACCTGTCCGTCGAAATCCATTTTAAGAGTGTTTAATTGAAATAACAGTGGTTCTTAGACAACAGTTTTAGGAATTTAATTAGGAACAAAGCTATCATAGTTGAAAACATTATCTCTGCATATACTATTGATCCATTAGTAAAGGTTCATGGGCTTAAACTGGAAAATTACTTACTTCAGTATCAGATGATAACATTTTTTTTCTTGTTAGTCTATATCGTTTGTACCTAAATTGCCTGGAATAAAATAATATTACTGATAAATTAAGATTGACAGTGGTACTAAAGTTGAAATGTCACCTAATGTCTCTCCAGTGACAGCCAGGCTTGAACGCTCCTTTAAAAGTAACCTCTTTGATTCCAACTTTTATTAAACCAAGGGTGATTCAAAATTAAAACATACTACCGAAAGAAACGTATGTCGATTATTGTTCTCATCTGAATTTAATAGGTATTTTGAAGCAACTGATTTAAATAGCCAAGTTCATTTATAGTGACTCTTGGCATTCAACAACTAGATTTCTTTTTTTATTAAGGAATCCTATTTCAGATTTCAATGGATATTTTCACTGTGGAACTGAATATCGTAATCATCTAAATATTAGAATAGATAGTGACTTATTGTACTTATAGGCCATGCACAAAAATTGACTTTCCGTTGGACTGGATCATAAAATCTGTACATGGAAATTGTAAAAAATTGTAAAAAAATTGTAATGTATCAAATGTTCAACGCGAAAAGTAATGAAACTAAGTAACTGATTTATATCTAGTATCTACTCACCTAAAAGTGGTATCTGACTCACAGATCGAGGTGTGTTTGATGACACAGTAATAACATATACTGTTGCACCAAAGAATAATGATAATGCAGTAGCTAACCGATCACTTGGATAACTCAATGTAAATATTGAACATGTTAACGTTGAAATCAATGTGAATGGTGCGACAACAAATGTAACAAAGTACAAGGGTTCATGTTTCAGTTTAATAGATATTACCAAATATTGATATTTTGAGTTAGTTTGCCTCGAGTATACAGAAGAATGATAACCAATCTCCTCAACTATCCATTCACTGTGATTAGCGTTGGGCATAAAACTGTTATCAATACTTAAATGATCGATTTTTAGATTGATTTCTAATTGTTTGATTGTACTATATAGTGTAGTCAAAACCAGATAACATTTTTGTCTGTCAAATGGTAATTTAGTCATATCAAGAGGGCAAGATAGTTCTAAAACTGAACCATGTAACCATGTTACGTAACCGTCGGACTCAACCATCAAACGCGATGCATTATTGCCCGATGCCAAATCAAACAGCCCGTTCTTTTTACGGTTTCCAAATGCTAAATCAGGTCTCCATAATTGTTTACTCTTAAAAATCAGTATATTTTGTAAATCGCCAAAATCTCGTGGTTTCCACTTCAGACGATAATCCATCCACCTCTAAAGTAAAAAGAAAACCATTCGTAAAGTGGTAAACAGATTAAAACCGTTTTCTATAAACTGTTTAAATAAATAAACTACTCGTAGAAGATATATAATCCAAACTACGTGCAGGAGATCAAACAACTGTTTCCTTATTCTATATGGTTACTAAACACATTTACCAGAAACCATAGTGACTAACTTCTGTGGACTTGTATTATGTAAGTGTATTGTAAAAAAATTCCGTTATCAATAAATTATCTTGGAGGTTCTACTCATGAAATTTGTCATTAGCTAGCGTTAAGAAGAAATCCATTTTGAGATCAGTGTGCTATTTTTAATTCAGTAGAACACTTCCTCATGTTAATTCATTTTGTACACTTCGTTCCTTAATTCAGTTTGTCGTTTCAGTTTTGTCAATCCAGTGTGCATTGTGTTAACCAATAATCATTTGATGTAAATTTGTCCATAAATCAATGTACATCAAGCCAATGGAAGTCTTCTAGTTATAGATAAAAAAATAGATCTTTATCGTCTACCAGTGTTTTCTTTCCTTTTGGTTAAGTCATACCAAGTTTCACTTCCATTTACAACGAAAATTTCTATCTTTCAAGTTCAAGTTCAATTTATAGCGCTTAAATTTTGTACAAGACTACTTCAACTTGTCAGAAACACATGATCAAAATTATTAGAATTAAGTCTCAGAATTCTGATATAGTAATCATCAGTCAAACTTTTAAAACATTAAAATATATGCAGTATACTTTTATGTGCTTATACATTTCAAATAATTTACAATATTGTCCAATGTATTTAATGTTACCTCGTTGAAGACAGTCAGTTGTAATAATATATTTGCCCATAAATATTGAAAAAAAGATCAAAGACAAGTTCACGTCTTCCGTATTGGATCCTTTTTTGGCAAGACAACATACAAATTTTATCGTGAAGATCGCCCTTTCGTTTCAGTTATCATACATTATATTTTTGACTACATTAGGCATTAAGGAACATCAGATAGAAATAATAAGAATCCTAGTTTGTAGCGAACAGAAAAATGCCACGTTTGAAGGAAGCAACACAGATGTTCTGTTAAAATATGAACGTTTAAGGCTTCTTTTTAAAACAGATGGTGCATTGTACTTTAAAATAATAATAGTGTTCTCATCAATGAATAAGGTACAGCAAAACATGGTATATGTAACACTGTACGGCTTGAAGTTATACAAATTTAATTTCACCTACGGGAAATAGTATAGTACACTATAATACTTCCTTGAGAGATACTGTTAAGTTTGTCTTACATTGTTCCTACATGTTCCTTTTCTACTCTTTGTGTGTTGTTTTATACTACTTATTTACGTTCAGTAGGCAGCTGTATGCCAAACAATTTTCACACTTATGTTGTATCTCAAGTTGTACTGTAACATTCTGGAATGTTCACCTATATCTTTAACGTTTATTTTACTTATAATTGTATTTATCATTATAACCACTGTAATTTAATTACTGTAACGATTATCCACAGTTTTGTACATTTGTTTGAATGCAACAGTTTCCATATTGTTTGCTCTTGGTTCGAGTTTCGGTTGTTCATAAACTGTTACCAAATTTAGACACAGCTATCGGCTGTCTTTGGACTATCGTATGTTGTAATCATTCTTTATGTTACTCTTACAGGAAGCTTTCGCTATTTTCATTCTTGAACGACGCGTTTAAACGCCTAGACACCTCACAAGTTGAGGTTTGTAACTAAATTTTGTGTATTATTTAATAAAGAACCGCTTTTGTAGACAAATCGTTGTTTTGGAACTTCGATTTTGCGCGTATCTCAATCGGGGTTACTTCGACGCTTCGATAGAATTAACAGATACAGATGAAAGAAACTACTGTTTACAAGGTGATGAAGGAGTCTATAATAGTGGATCATAAAATACTTGAATCTGTTTCAAAACTTCAGATTATAAGATTTTCTTCTCCTTGACAGCGGTAACTTTTTCTGCTAGTGTTTAAAGTAAATTTCTATCTTTATATGGAATTAGGTGACTAAAATCTACAGACTTCCTGTTCGTATTAATGTTTTAGTCTGGTATTACATTTCAAATCTGATAAAATGAACAGTGTAAAATATTATGAACATTAACGACCCATAGAAAAACTTTCTTGATAATGTGATTTTACATTTATAGGTTGATTAGAGAAAGATGAAAAATAAATTTGGGTCATTTCTAATTCGAATGAATTTTAATATTAGTGATTTTTATGTTCAACATTTTGAATACAAGTATTTATTTCTGAAGGAAAAAATCTTTCTATCTACTTATCATGTTTTTTAATATACATTTATTGTAGTGGTATTGTGAGGGATCACCAGCATTTACGTTAATCAAATTAATTCAGACGACTAGTCACAAATTTCCTCAGTATTACAAAGGTTCTATGGTTATCATCACAGGCTTATTTAAATTTATCCACCATTGAGAGTCTAGAAACACTGGAAAGTTGTTTGGTCCTCACACCGGGCTCGTCAGCAGCGCTAACGGGTTTTTGTTCAGTGCTTCCTGGTTTCCAAATGTAGTCTTACTAAGATAACTCCATGATGTAAACTACGGAAATTCAACAATCTACACGAGCCCACTATGTTAGTAAAAACAACAATAATAATAATAAATAGAATAATAATATAATTACGGTATTTTAAGCCAGAGACTGAAGTTCGAAGTTAAGATTTTTAATGCCTAATTATTTTGAAAGTGAGTGGGATTGAGATTCAGCATATTTGACTTGAATTTAGTCACAGTGCTGGTCGAATCAGATGTGTTTATTGCCATTGTAAATAAATAAGTGTTGTGATTATAAATATCCTTCAAGTTTCAACTTCACTAATATTTGGAGATATATAAACCATTGAAGTTTAACTGACAGGTTTAAGAGTTATATGATCATTAAGGTCATATCATAAGTTTTATTCAGAAAGTAGTTAGGGATTTATACTGTTGAATAACTAAAAACAATGTTTAAATAACCATTTTCAAGAGTAATTCAACTGACTGCATTAATTCAGTCTAGTTGTCTTTAAATTAACGAATTTCTTCAAGTAATTTAGTTGAATTTTACAACTTCTCAAAATGTGTTTCTTTGTTCATGGATGTATACACTTCTTCTACCTCGTAAGTCAAAATAATTATAGGAAAATATTTGTTTGGAAATAAATACGAAGATATCGATAGAAATATATCATTATATTATTAACATGAAGCTATATACACTTAAAATTTATTTCCATATTAAGTACGATTAATCATTATGGTATTACTAGTCTAGCTAATGTTGTTGATTCAATTTAAACCTATATGTATGAACAAATGTGGAGGAACAAATAGAGGAGAAAAAAGGAACAGAAAAATTGACAGTACCATCCATCACATTTAAAATTAGTAATTGAGGTAATTTTGTTGTTTTCAAGCATCAATCAATCCGTGATTTATAAAATATTGTGCAAAACTTACTTCAAATTAAGTAAATATTACGAAAGAAAAATGAAAATAATGAATACACTGATATGCATCGTGCATTTGTATACAACATTCAAGATAAAGAATATATATGTATATACAAAGATTAACGTACTATTGTAAACCATCCAGATATTATAAGTGTTTCATCTGAATGCGACTGAAAGGAGTGGGAGAGAGAAAAAAATGTATAGTCGATAAGTTTTTTGTCATTAGCGAAAGATAGAAATTAAAATTACTGTCATAAATAAAATTGCTATAAATGAATATCTATTATCTTTCAGGTGACTTAATTGGTTTCATATCATGAGTGAGATAGATGATAGAAGGGCAAGTAACTGTACCTTAAATGACATATGTTATTTTGGAGTTTTTGCTTTTACTCATCGATCATAGTGAACAGATGAATTTTATTATCAAACTAGATGTAAGTGAATGAAAAGTTACTGTTCATCGTTAAATAATATCATACTAGATAACTAGTTGTTAACATAATTTTTCAACTACTTTACGAATTCAAATTATTCTAACAGTCTTTACGACAAAGATATCAAGGGTTAAAAGCTTACAACACCACATTTTTCATATGTGGGTCTTGTAATTTATTCTGTCATTCTGTATCTGTCTGTTCTATAAACTCGATTATTTTCTTTACTTGTAGTGAAAACAATGAGTGATGACAATTGAAGATAAATTAATTAATACCATGCAAACTACGTGGCCAAATAATGGACTACCGTTGATTAAAAACTCAATTTTTTGTTAAATTAACAAAGTTTTAGTTCGAAATAATTATCTCAAAGGTCAGAAAGAAAAGAGAAATTGGGGGTTACTACGTATATTGGATCCATGAAATGTCAGAAAGTTCCTAAAATCGAAAAAGTTGAACTCAAAAATATTAAATCAACTCACGGATGATAATAATCTCGCTACACTATATGGAATTTCTGGGTTTAACATTTTGTTAAGATTTCAGACCAACAAAATAAAACGAACTAGCTCCTTCTTACTTCTTCTTTTCTAATTAGTTGTGGTCTGTGACGACAATCATGTGAATAATAAATTAACCTCTACCAGAACTGTTAGGAATTAGTTATTACTGTTACTTCATGACTAAAATTACTTTTTGGATTATTATGGGAAAGACTGAAGAATGAAATGAACTAAGCATTTCAAGTAGCGTATTTTAATGACAGTAAAGTTCGCGGACACGCTTCAAACAAAGAAGCATAAATATTCATTCTACTTACTATAAGAAAAGAAGTATCACTTGAATATTTTCATTAATTTCAGAAATGTAGTTTATTGAATGCTATTCGAAATAACAGTATTTAGGCTATGCACTCAAGATACAAAGACCAATTATCTGTAGTCCCTTAATAGTATTTAACATTGTTTGGTTTCAAAGTCATGATGTTACACCTTAGTTAATATTGGGATAACAACAGTTTGATCAAATTTATTTACACAAAGTTTTAATTAAACTGTTCGAATGAT